AAATTACAATAACTAATTGAAATGAAACAAAAATTTACGAAACCAGAACAGATCCATATATTCATGATAAAATCTTTATAATAAACTTTCAAAAATTAACAACAATTTTCAACAACAACCAAACTGATGAAATGATTTACAAAACAACAACAATGATTCATAGCAATGATAACAATCAACTGAGAATATTCACTATACTCTCAGTTACTCTTCTTTGACTGATGCTAAATTATTGCTACTCAAAGTATACGAATAGGGCATCAACAGATCGAATGCACCTGTCCCTCCACGCAACAATTCACCAGATACAATACGTGCTGAGGGTGATGATAAGTAATCATCTTCACCTGAAGACATTTATTTATTTATTTATTACCCAGATATTTACAGCTAATTTTCATGCTTTCGACGGGCATTAGTTTGATCTTCATATATTCGAAGAGGGAATTTTTTATGAGAATGATTGTGATAATAATGAAATGATGATTAACCATTAACAATCGCATCTTTCAAGAATGCAACAGTGGTCTCAAAAGTCATCTTTTGTAACGGTGACGCACTGCTAGAAATGGCGGCCCTACTGAATGGCTGGATCTGACCGGTGAATGTCATGTAATCAGCAGTCAATGTCAAATGTCTTCGACTCACATCAATACCGTAAGGTGTAAATACACGTACTATTTCCTGCAAATTATCAAGCATTGCGAACAAAATCGGAAACTGTCTTTAAAAATGTGCGACTGTTCAAAGTGATATGGAATACAAGACTTTATTTATAAGTACCACTCAATGACCGTTTTGAAACCACAGATTTGAAATGGTTAATAATGAAATATAAAAATTTTCAGGTCACGAGATTATTATGACAGAACAGTTGCGTTAAATGTGCAAATAAGCTAATCCGAATGAAGTTTGCTAAAAATTTTATCTCTTTTTTTAGCTTTCACATCAGAATTACAAGCAGAACGATAAAGCAATGAATGCTGGATTAGAGTATTCAAAAACGAAACTTCAGTTTGTGTGCGCTAGAATAACGACTAAAACGAAATAAATCCATGCATATAAAAGCTGATATTCTTATCTTATCTCAACTATAATATAAGTTACCTTAACAAGTGCTCTCGCACATGCTTCAATACCATAATAACGCCATATCAATGTTAAATCATTTGAATAGAACGAATTAACATCCAGTACATCAGCGTGTTTAAATAATGCCTTAAAGTCGATAGCATTACAAAACAGGAATAGAATTATTCATTCGTAATAAAATCTCTACAATGAATTTTGAGAAATTAACAAAACGAACAAACATTTTATCCTCGGTTCCATAGCCAATGAAACAAATTGCATGTTATCAACAAAAAGAAATTCAGTCGTAAAGCCGATTTTTTGTTTCACATCGAAAGAATTTATCCACATAAACAAAGATCAGTGTAGCTGACAACAAGAACTTGATGAACAAATGACGAAAAAAGATAATAAGAAAAGGTAACCAAATGGAACATACCTGAATATTGATGCCTTGCGTAGCAAGTATATGGCAAGGTTGTCCCTTATAATTCTCCTCTCTTATAATGCATTTCTCAATACCAACACATTCCGAAACAACGAATGTTTGCAACTGTTGCTGAACCAATGAGGCAACATCCAACTTCGATTTACTATTCAAATTTAACTGCAAACATTGACTTGTTATTTTCAATAAATATTCTATTAATGAATCGAATAGAATAACCACTCTTAATCACGAACAAAAGTCATGCTACGAATTTATCGTAGTGCTGCTATTGAACTTGGTAAATTGAATTAATACATTATATGACAGAGGTTGATAATAATCACCTTATACGTTACAGTACACCAACGATTCCTTTTAACATCATATTTATAATCGCAAACTTTTGGTGACGTTCCAATAACACCCTTAAATATAATCAAAAACATTTAGCTGATATTAATTAGTTAATAATCAAAATAATTTACAACACAATTTGATGTAAATCTTTGAAAAATTGATCATATCAAAGCGTTAAATTAAAATTAATAACAGGTTCAGACATTACTAACAATCGAACAATGATAATAACCACTAAACTAATAATGAGAATTAATAATACTGAAGATTACTTGTATTCTACTTTGCTCAGCTTGTTTCATTTGATCAGTTCGTTTCTTATAATCCTCACCCAACTGTTCATTGTAGTTTTCTGACTTTTTACCGGTCTCGTTATCGTCGTCGTCTTCTGATTCGTTTTCGAGCTGTTCCTTAAGGTTATTTAATGATTCGCTACTAGCAATCATAACTACATAAACGCAATGTTGAACAAACCAAATTCGGCTCGCTGTTATCGACCGTGATCACATTGCGTTCCTCATCTTCCCCTTCATACTCAGCACCATCATCCAAATGTCTTCGATTCAACCTCACTTCATCTGCATCTGCATCCACCCTCGTCTCCTCTTCATCGCTGCTCATACCTTCATCCTGTCAACCACTATTATTACTCTACGAATGAGATTATCTAAATTATTTCTGTTCAATGACAACAAAACAGTTAGTGATATAAAACTATGAGCTGGATAACGAGTAACCCGCGGATTTTGAGTAGTTTGAATTTCGCTATCCATTTCAATGCTTGCCATCAATTTTCCTGACGTCGCTTTTCTGTAATCATTTCAGGAATTAATGAATACATTGTGATGATACAGAACCAGTATTAACATTTCATCTTTAAAATATTTCAATCATTTCATCCTTTAAAATGTTTCAAATCAATTTTGACTGGAAATTCTCTCTCCCATTAATACAATAAATTATGGGTAATTATTTCGGAATTATTGATTAATATCCGTACGATATCCGATTCAATGAAATTCCTTGTAAAAAAACACTGACTAATAATGAAGTTTAAGGAAAGTCAGCACATTTTATGGCTTCATTCATTCAAAAAAAAAATTTTTTTACTGCACTCAAATGAATGCGTACGAGAAGGGAGAAGAAACAACGTACTTGTGCTGCAGATCCTGATATTCATTCATTTGAAATTCACGTTCAGTAATACATTTGCCGATAAGTTTTATGAAACGATGCTCAATTTCACTTAATATCTTGTAACACGATAAATGCTTCACATTCTCGTCGCGTGATTTCTCACGTTGAATTTCAATCGTTAAATCATATTTCCGCCAACTTTCCCTAAAATGTTCGAATAAATGTTACAAAATGAAAATGATGCACTGAAATGTGTTGTGAATGAAACTGATCGCGAAATTTGATTTTGCAATCGCATCAAAAAATCAAATGACGAATGCCGAAAGGCTCAAAGACTTACCTTTCCGTTAAGTTAACTCTTTCGACGACACTGAATTTCTTGATAACCTGGCTCAGATAGACACGATCAAGTTCTCGTTTTATCGCATTTATGCATTCTATACTGGTGCCGGGCTTCGCCCTTATCTTAATTGTTGTCATCATTATATCAGTGTCTGTACATCGATTAAAAAATTTTACAAATCACAATATGTCAATCATTTTCATTGTAAACTGAATAATACTGAGTAAAATTGGACAATTGTAATACCTATGGACAATCTCATTCAATTAGATGATTACCAATTAAAAGATGACTGTAAATGGAGTGAAGGAATAGAAATAGACTGAAGCGAAAGAAAGACCTCAGCACTGGGTGTTTTAATGGAAGATCCATTAGTCATAAGTATTTCTCGAAGACGTGGTATACCCAACGTTACGTTCATCTCACCACGACCAGCAAAATGGAATGTATTCAATGTCATTTGCGTAGATGGTTCACCGATTGACTGCGCTGCCAAAAGACCTACATTCTCACCTGGATCGCATCCACATCGAATACCTCCAAATTATTTTTAATGTCATTCAGTCCGAACTTATTTTAAAAGATATAAACGAAATCCAACAATTCAAAACGAGAATAAAGTTGCCCATTTTTTAAGAGCGCAGATGCATTCATTAGGAATAAATCGGCAGTTTTCTGATAGCGATAAAGTTTTGTTGGAATCTTATCATTTTCAGCATCACTGAAACGAACCTTTCCAAAACAACGTCTTGCGAAACGTTTCTAAGGGTATAGATGATCCTTCTGAGTCCTTTTTCTTGACGTAGTCATCAATTTCATCGAGCATTTTCTCTGGCAGAGCACCCAACGTGCGTGTCGGATTCGTTTTCTAAAATTCGTTGGGATTATAATTCAATCGAGTGATCGTAAGAGAGAAATGAGAAGAAAATAGTTTGAAAGTAAATAAGCAAACAAATTATCCATCTGTTTGCAAAATAAACGAATGAAACTATTCAAGAAAATTTCCATTCGCATCGAACTGCAGTGAACAAACACATTTGCGAACAGTGATAAAATTTTTTTTCAAAACGATAAACAGAACGCTTTGTAAAATAATAAAATTTGTTAAATCCTTGAAATTCAAGGACTTTTGGCTAGATCAATTTAAGATGATTTCAAGAATGAGCTTCTTGTAAACTTGTCATTAGAATCAAATGATGAAACGCAAGCAAGATTTTCGAGAATGAATATTGTATAAACTCATGAGAGTACTGAAAGAAATTGCTGACATTACCTCATCAGCCATCGGAGGGCATCGCCTGAGAAGAGCACTTCTTTCATACTCATCTCTTTGCTCTGTTCCTAACCTGAACCACAAATCCACAAGTTCATTTTTTGCTACGTTTTTATGTTCATTACTGAACTCAACGAAACCACTTGAGTATTTCCTATTCGATTCGTTATCCAAACGCAACTTCCGCCATTTTTTCACCTGAATGAATTGTTCATTGTAATTACAACATCAGTGACCCTTCGTAACAATCATTGCTACAAGAATTAATATATCAGTTGACCACATCAATTCATCTGCACTTTTACAGAACCATCAGAGCTGAGCTATATCAATGTTTCAAGCATGCATTTAGGGTTCGCGTTCACTCAAAGAAACACCTGGAGACCGCATGAGAACAGAATAAAAGACGAACCTTTTTATAAGCTTTTTCACTCTTCCTCAAATTCCAGTCATTTTCATTGACGTTCTTCGGTACCAAATGATGCCGTAATACATTCATATTATCAGCCAGAAAATCAAATTGTGCTGCCTTCATGAAAGTGCATCTACACACATCCATTCCATCCTCACCGTAACGAAACTTCAAACAACATTTTCGAAATTATCATTTCACACACAGTTAAGCATTCGTCTTGAGATTGGGCTACAATATTCAGATGCTTCACTTCCCCGTCATTTTCGCATAGTTACAATATCATGTAAAAAAACAGCGTTAACGAAAAGGGTACAAACAATTCGAAACAAAATGGCTCAAGCAATCAACCAGTGAAATTTCCGGAGTGTTACGCTGATAGATGGGATAAATAAATGCAACAAGAGGGATAATCTTGGTGAAGGAAAAAATAAGGTGGATCAATCAAAAGAAATAACCTGAATAACGCTATTATCGTGATCACGAACAGTAGAATCGTAGTGTGCCACGATACCTTCAAGATGCTTCACAATGCAACGCTGCAAATAACCTGATCGCGATGTCTTCACGGCTGTATCGATGAGACCCTTTAAAATGATTATCACCATCATTATTAATGCTATAAGCATTATCGTTGCTATCAATATCAGTTGAAATGACATTAATTGAAATGACATTAAACTTTTCTGTGAACAATAACAACTGTTATCAATTCAATAATATGAGAACACACCTCTCTTCCAGCCATAGTGTGAAAGAACAGTTCTTGAGGATTAATACCAGTCAAGAAGCGTTGATCAACGAAACCACCAGAACGAGGTGACGTATCAAACGCATGAAACGATGGTAATGTCCTGCCAACGACCGTTATCGGGGGTCGGTGTCCTTCCAACTCTATCTGACCCAGTCCACAACTGATCTACAATTTCATTCATTTATCACTTTTCCATGAACACTGCCATTGGAATGCCAATCAATTATTGTTAAATGATTTGATCAAACAATATTATTTTCATTCACAAGTTCGCAACTCACAAACAGATGACTGATATCGTTTACTTAACTAACCCACCTGAACTGAATTAACCATTGTACCCTTCGAGCCACAAAGAATCATCAACTGTAAAGCGTTTCGTGGAAACGTTCGAATCAGACCGGACGGCACACACGCACTGAAACCGATCAACTTAATGTAATCAACCATCCACCATATGACACTATTTAATGCACTAACAATAAACAAACCCATTAATCTGCTCGGAGAATTTATTCAGTTTCTCTTTCATTTTGAAATCCAGTTGTTGCACACCTTGTTGGTCACCTTTCGGATTACAATAACACTGAGCCAATAAATTTTTAATTTCTTTTTGCGTTGTTGTTTCAGGATTCAAACCGAAACACTCCATTGCAACCTCATCACCTTAAAACGATTTGAATAAAATCGATAGAATAATACAATTACGAATCGACTGCATTACATTGCAACAATACGCCGAGTTGCTAACTAATAACAGTTTTGGTAACAACTAAAGACTACTTCTTGACAAAAAGTAGCAGTCGACGTTTTATTTTGGAATGTATGATGAATTTTTATACATGAGCCGTGTTGTACAATTTATTTTATGGTATACTTCAGTGATGATATTAATTTCTCGATTCAAAATTTTTTCCTTCTCGAAGGTATTTATGAACGACGAAACAATTTCATAACAACAACTTAATATGATACCGCATTTCCGAAGAGCTTTTATCACTTTCCTACGTTTCTTATCTGCCTCTTTCGTCACCAAGATGTCAGCCACTCCAAGAGTGAATCCATGATACTACAATAACACTACATGAATAATACCATAATGATCATTTGTATGAAATCAACAGTAAACCTTGAAAATGAAAAAGAATCACAATTCATAAAAATGACAACAATGAAAAAAGAGATACTTGAAGATAAGTGGTAAAAAGACGTGAAAAACGACTAAGGATCGTCGTGGCACATCGATGTCCATACAGTTCCCAACAGCAGTGTATTAACCCATACTGTGTGCTACCATAATGTTGTTTATCCAAAACACCCACCAACAACTCACCATCTCTAAATTCAAATAAACTGACAGACTGCATTATCAACAACCTAAATTCTAATTGCTTTCAATGAACTAATAAAATCCCCTCAACAACAATAACTCAATACTCAAACTCACTCGAAAATCACACAAAAAAACTCCAAAAACAGGTATTAAAACGAAACGAAAGTAATTACCTAAAAATGACTTGTGATTCACTCATATCAAATTTTGGCGTCGGCAAATTAGCCACTTTCCAACACGTTAATGGCGTTTTCGCTTTAGAAATTAGATTAATTCGCGGTTGACCGGCCGGTATTGTATTCATTAGGATTGTACTTATCACCTTGAATATTAATTATCAATATTACCTTCAAACTTACAAACACTCTCAATTATAATATCCATATGTTGTTTTTAAGTTTTTTTTTCAATTAATCAATGCTGATACCAGTGTGATAATATTTGCATTAATTCCCATCACGACATTATCGCGCAAATAAAGACGAATCGATGAATCTCAATGATAATTTGAATTCAAAAGAAACCTTAATAATAATTTGATAAAATCTGCGGCATTTCAATGGTAATACTGATATTGTGAGGTTTAAGTAATGATTAAATTGAAGCATAAACACACCAACCTGTTTACCACTCCATAAAACTTGTGGTTTTAACATTGCTGGTTTTGGTATCACGATGCGTTGCCTGGTCTCAGCGAATGCAGAGAGCACCAAATGCATAAAATCTTCTTTACTGAAGAAACGACCTCTCATCGTTAAAAGAACACCCGACACTACATGGTCTTGAATCAAGCCCAACAATGGAGTTCCATCTTTTGGTACCAAGTAATTTGATCCAACATTTGCTACAAGCATAAATCGAATTTACGATGAGTGAACGCGAAAAGAAATCAATTAAAATTCCAATAATCATAAAGACAAATACACTGATTAGATAGATTCTAGAAATACTGAAAAGGTTATTGATCACTACTGCTACATATTAAAAAGAAAAAGAAATTCATTCCAGAAATGAGACACACAAAATTTTCGCGGTTGAATTATTTTAAAAATAATATTGATAAATTGAGAATGATAGTAATAATATGAAGAAAAATGAGAGGAATAAGAAGAGTAATGAATAAATATTAAATGAAGTAACCAATTTCAGCCACTTCGGTTTGGGCGATATAATTTTGCACGAAATGACCATTCATCTCGTCACCGTCAAAATCTGCATTGTATGCTTTGCAAGGCGCGTAGTTCATCCGTAACGCCTTCTGACCTTTCAGCACCCGGATGCGATGACCCATTATTGAT